GGGGGGGGTGGCAGATTTCCATATGCACATTACTAGAGGGAAGCCAAAATGCGGTGTGATGGTATTTAATGCATCAAAATAATGGTTTTCAGAGTTGAGGAGGGGGGCGTGCAAACAAATCAATGTCCTCTGGCGCCTTTAGCTACTCTAGCTACGCCTTTGCATTCTGGCGGGGTGGGCGGTTAGCTCAGATATAAATTTTTCTTTATACGGAGGGGAAGGATTTTATGACAAATGCAGAGTTTGTACCGTTAATTGGAACATGGCATAAGTCTTGGCAAGTCCAGGGTAGCACTAACACTGGCTACTTCACAAGGCTGGTGTATCTATCAGCACAAACAAAAGCTATTCCACTAGGGAGAGTATCTTTCAACACTAACACTAGTTACTCCACTAGGTAGTGAATATATCATCCACAAAAATTATGACTGTGCCAGCTATACTGTCATTTTCTAGGGTAGAAGTGCAGAAATTGAGGTTATTGTTGGCTCTTGAGTAAAAACGGGTGGGGTCTGGGGAGCTTTCCCCAGGAAATGTTGGATTATTTCAAATTTAAATGGTGCATTTTGGAGTTTACCTGAACTCAGAGTTTTGCTTAGACCATATCATATGGGAAGGAATTTTTCAATCGTCAGAGGGAGACATTATAAAATTCAGTGCTATACATCAACTGAATTAACTCAGGTTGGGGCGTGCCCCAGAGTAATCATTTGGAACAAGCTTATATTTAACCCTATACTGTTACATTGATCAGCGTGGGGGTAGGGTTGTAGAATTTGAGGGTGCTAAAGACCATGTACATATTCAAAATGCAAGTGTGCACTTTGGCGCATACTTGAATTTGGAATTTATTTCAGGCAATTTTTAGGGGGGGGGATTTGAGACTTTCCGGTGCGAAAATTAGCCAAAAATAGGAATATCTCTTGCTTGCTTAGGCCCAACATGAACAAATACAGAAAGGCTAATGCTGCTAAACCGACCCTTAGTTTCAGGACAGACTATATATTTTGCCTCTACTCGGTAACATTTCCAATCATGTTTCACGAGATCAAGCTGAAGGCTCGGAACCCCCGTCACTCGTCATTGGTACACAATAGCGCCAATTTTAATAGGTATTGTTTGATACTGTGTAAGAATTCTACGATTTACACAGTTCGAAGCGTATTTTCTCAAAACCAAACTTTGGCCATGTTTGTCTCATAAAATTCTATCAAATAAATAACTTTTAGTCAGATTTTAAAATATTTTTTACCATTATACTCATCGTCAAAACCTATAGGTATTTATATAAACATAATAAAATTCAGAATTAGACTAGTCGGTGAGATTCGACTAAAATCGTAGTGGAGATTATAGATATGAGAATGGGACAACGCGCGGGCCGCATTACTACTAAACTTTCAGGTAGCGGGGCGCAAAATATCGTCTTGCGGACCGCAAATAGCCTGCGGGCCGCGAGTTTGAGACCCCTGATCTACATAGTTAATAAATTATGCATTCAATTAACTTTAAAAAACAAACATAATTCCATCATTAAAAAACATTGCTAACATCATTTTATATGTTAAACACAAATGAAAAACAATATTTATTAAATCAATTTTTGTGAAATAATTAACTTTGCTAAATATGTCCATGTTTTACCATAGTCAAAAAAAAAGAAAAAAAACTGTTAAGTAGAAAGATTTTTGCATTTTATGGGTT